ACGTGGCACGATGATCGCCGCCCTTTAACTATGTGCAGAGAAGCCCTTGTTTGAAATAAAGAACAATGACAGCATTAATTTTTAGATTTTAAATTAATAATGGCTGAATTAATTACATATTTATTGCATTAAGGTTGCATATTTGTCACATTTGAGTTGAAAATTTATCTCATTTGTGTCACATATTGGGTCAGGCATTTCTTGCCTTTCCAATCACGCTTGCTTCACACATCTTAATTAATTAGCCACTGCAGCGGTGATCTAAACTTACTTTGGAATAAGTCATTGTCAATGACATAGTCCTCATTCAGTTTTTATTTGTGATTTTTACAAAAAAATTGTCGGTTAAATTTGCAAAATCTGAACAATATACGTGGAAGTGTACCAAAGAAAAAAAATTGACATGCATATGTTTCTGAATATGACTTGCTTTTTTAACAAAATCAGTCCAATCATGTCTAAGAAATGATGTCAGATGAATTATTATAATTATGAAATATATTTTTTTTTTCGATGCATTAATTAAGTTAAAAAAATATGATAGTAATGACCAAGCATTAAACCCTGATCGAGCATAATTATTCTCTTCATAAAATATATACAGAAATATATTATTAATTATGAATTAATAAGGGCACTTTAAAAAACACTGAAAAGCCAAAAATATAATTACCAGAAAGCCAAAAATATAATTACCAGAACCTAACAGTTCATATCTTTACAAAACAATTAATTACATATTTCCAATTTTGCACTAGAGAACAAGTCTACAACAAACTTATGATTGTAACCATTTTTTTTTATGTATTTAAAGCAAACAGAAAAAAACTAAAAGCAAGTCATATTCAGAAACATATGCATGTCAATTTTTTTTTTCAATCTTTAATGCATGTATTTAATGAGCAATATTTAATAAATATTAAATGTTGAACAGATAGTTTTAGATTTTGGTATTGAATAATCTTATTACAAAAAATAATTAAAACTGTGCAAAGAAGTGGGGGAGGGGCTTATAGAAATGAGTAAAAGTAACTAACCAGTAATGTGACTGTAATATTTGTTGTACCATTGACAATATCATCAGATGCATAAGGTATCTCATTATATGCTTCTATCTTCACTGTTAGCCTCTCTCCCACATCCTCTATCGTCACGAACGATGTAATATACACATCGCCAGTTGTCTGATCTACATCAAAGTATTCATAGTCTGTACCATTTTCAGCAACAACGGCATAACTCACAACGGCATTTTCATCTGCGTCAATGTCATTAGCCTAAGTGATGAGAATATAATGTATATAATGTGTATGAATTGATGTACACTGATAGACAGGCACCAATCATAGATACTGGATAGCATTACCAAAAAAGCCACAAAGTTTACACTACACATATATATGTATGTATGTAAGGGGAACAGTGGATGTCATGATGGGAAAGAATGAAATATTTAACATTTTCACTGATATTGATATAATATTTTGTGATTTATGTTATTTATTTTAAAAGGGTTGTCAGACTTTAATTCTTTCAGTTCACACTGCTCTAAAACGTTTTCAACATTTTTTAACCAAGAAGTATTTATTTTCATTGAGTCAACTAAGGATGTGGTTATTAATTTATGTTATTATGTATTATTGTACGATTACTTATAATTACCTTCACAGTAATGACGAAAACATCTAATGTCTGCTCCGGTACAGCTGCTTCATAAGAATCTGATTCAAACACTGGTGGATTGTCGTTGATATCAGCTAGTGTAACTGTCACATAAGTCTGTCCGGAACGAGGACTTTCACCATGATCTACAGCAAGAATATACACCTCATACGTATCCTGTTCTTCTCTGTCAAACGCTTTCAGAGTTGTCACTTCACCGGTTGTGCCATCGACAGTGAAGTCACTGAAAAGAAGTCCAATGGCATGCTATTATTCGTCTATTCAGAGGTCAACAGGTGACTATTTTTTAGGGCTAAGGTGTGTATCACCAAA